TCATTACATTATTGTGTTGTTATTTTCTATAAAATAAATGGAGTATCTGTGGTACTTCAAATAAACACATGTGAAGACTTTTTATTACTTTTTTTTGCAAATCAACAGGTGGTGCCAAAGCCAAACGAAGGGCAGCTACAACAAATTATCATTGTAATCTCCACAATAATACTGGTTGTCACCCTGGCCCATATCATTTCCTGTTATAGACTAACCTCGGCCCCCCATCTCAGAAAGGAAAGTTGATGTGGCCCCCACTGAAAAAAGTTTGTGGACCGCTGATTTAGAGAGTGAAAACTATGTTTCCAGCTTTCTGTACAAGCTCAAACATACTAGTGTTTATTAGGCAATGATATTAAAGTGTTTCTCTAATATAACCTTAAAATTACATGTGACTAAATAAGCAAAAATTACACCCTAAAGTGTTATCAATTATGAGTTTAACTAGTAAAAACTCAGTTAATTTGCTCCTTTTGAGTTTGATTCAAATGTTGGTAAATCCGAATTGGTGCACAGAAATGATTGACTGCCTTTTTGAGACTGAGCCTTGCTGACTTTACACCAGTGAGAAGACAGACAAATACACAAACTCATAAAGCTGTTATGCGAAACAACCAAAGCTGTTTAATTTTGGCAGAAAACTGTGTGTTTATGTAAGACCACAGTCCTCATGGTAAGAAGATGAATGGATTCATTAAACAGGATGAAATGTGGCAGTAATTCATCTGTGATGAGTCAATACCCAAAAGTTCCTCTTGGTATTGAGTCTAAATATCAAATTCCACAGCTCAACATCAATAACAATGGGATTTTAAAAGGCTGAACAGTATATCATAGCGGCATAGCCCCGAACCCCACCTCACTCACATCTTCATGTACAGGCCTGTGCAGCTATAGCCCTGTTGCGGTGTCAGCAGAGGCCACAGAAAAATGACAGACAAAAATAAAATGGCTGAAGTTGTTATTTGTCTTGGCAACCGCACAGGAGCAGCAAGTGAGTTATTACATCTGTGGCATGAGAAAACTTCAGTCCATCATCAAATCCTCAAACAAATCTACAGCAGTGCTGGGTAAAAGAAAACGCAAGAAACAAAAGATCATTTTTTGGATGCGCCTTATAGATGCCAAATGCAAATCTAATTAACTTTAAAAAGGCAAAATAATCTGCATATTTGTTTATTTGACACAATCTTCACCTAATGGAGAGCCAATGCTACTGTAATCTACAGAGCTCATCTAAATTATGCAGTTCATGTTTTCCCACCTCAGAGCATCTATAACTTCAGGGCCTTTGTTGGAAGCACATACAGTACAAGACATATAGCAGTTTCCTCTGAGGGAGACACTCATTAGTTCACAATAAAAGCTTTCTGTATACAAGCGCTTGGGCCTCAAATCTCCCTCACATGAGTTCAAGACACATGACTGCTTGTGCTTACTGGAGAGGGCGCACAGGAGGGGAGAGAGCAGCAGGTCAGAGGATTCTTCTAAACCTCAGCCGACACTCATGTGAGATGAGACTGCTGTAGCCTTTAGGTTTGTTATCTTACCCAACAGCATCACAGTCAAAAGCCGCCATTATTTCTGATTTCTGTGTTCGCCAAGGGCAATCAAAGTATTCAATACTCACAAGAAAAGAGATGAGAATTTCATTTCTCGTTCTCATACATTTCCGTCCTCTTATCAAACAGACCCTTCCACACTCAGAGTATCATATAGAGGGAGAAGATCACACAGTTCAGTAGATTGCAGGGAAGAAATGAGTGCCAGCAAGGGGCAAGATTGAACTACTGTTAATGTATAAATGTTTGTTGGAATAACTGAATGGATCAATATGTGATTGTATAAATTTAGGTAAAGAGACATCCTATACGTTTGTCCTCTGACTACTTTCAGAGCAGGAAAAATTACAACTATAATATAATAAATATGCTTGTGTTTTGTTAAAGGCTTGAAACATGTGCTCCTACAGTATTTGGCTCCAAATTAGATATGATTATGTCATTTTTATGGCCAACCAACCAGCTGATACAGTGGTTTATACTAAAAACAATCATAATGTGTCAGACTGTTGCCATGACTGCTTTCTGTTATATCATGTGGTGTCATGATGCTTTTTCCTAAGGTCATGTGACACTCAGCAAGGAGAGTATTTTATGTCTAAATGATGACATGAATTTAATCTTAACAAGAGTAAATGATTTTACTGTACTGCCATACAGAAATAAGCAGCTTTAAATACATTTGGTTTATAAAGGTATGGTTTGTATGGGTTTTATTTAATATCAACAAAATGTATGTAATAATAATCATAATCCTTACAGTGTGTGATTTTTGCTCATAAAAGGAAACCTTTCTTTTCCTGCTTCATGGCTTCTCTGTATATGTGTGTTTTTACTCAGGAGTGAAAATAAAATGCATGTAATAGCAGAAATGCGTAGCCAAATGATGTGAAGTGAGTAATGCCAACAGGTCAGCTGGTACACATGAGGGACATTAGGCCTGGGTGACCCTGAACATCATCAGTCTACAGACATGGTAAAATAACAACTGTGACAAAATAATCAAATGCTCATTTTCTGGATCACTGTACCTCAAACACCCTGGACATCAGTAATCCACATGTCAATGTTTTTTTTCTCAGGCCTCATATTCTCTGACTTGCAATAATTTATCATATATTTAGTGAGATAAAAAAAGTCTCTAGTTTTGATTTCATTTATGATTGGGTTAGCTTTGTCTCTAAACAAACGTGGCATGCATTAACCGTGAGAAAATTGATTTTCATGAAAGCCACTTCACTGTGAGATTGTTAAGCAGTTTCATTTAATCTTGTAACATTTGAAAAAACAACAAAATAAATGTGAACATAATTTCCATCACGACTATAACTTGACACTAACATTAATGGATTTTCCAAATGTAACCTTAAGCTAATTTTACTTAAAAGGGATTTTCAAAAGACTCTGCCTTTGTTTTTGCTATTTTCTATTATAACCAATAAACGAATCCATCTATTTTTGGCCAGTGTGTCCTGTCATATGGGCTACTTCTTTAAAAATCCCTACACAAGATATCAAATCTTCTCTCAGGCAGTGGATCACTTCAAAAACATGTACAGTAAAGTCTGAGTCAGAGGAAACTACCATGTGTGGGGAATTTCACTTTTTTTTTTTTTTTTACAAAAATGTTCTTTGGTCTTGTACAACTGCTTTTTTCATGTGAGCCGTGTGTCAAAGTTGGACTGTACCTGCGATGTCCCACAGCTGCAGGCGCACCGTCTCCTGGTCCCAGTTGAGGACCTTGAGAGCGAAGTCCACCCCGATGGTCGCTCGGTAGTTGGGGCTGAAGTTGTGATGGACATACCGCTTGATGATGCTGGTCTTACCGACCCCGAGGTCCCCTATCACAAGAATTTTATAGAGATGCTCCTTGTGGTGGTTGTTCTGCATGGCGACCGAGGAGGGCGAGAGCTGAGCATGAATCCACCGTAGAGAGGAGAGGACCGGGGGATGAAAGGGGAGCAGCACAGGACAGCGAGGGAACTAGAGTGCTGGCAGTGGGAAGGGGAGGTGAGGTACGCCCTGGCCCACAGAGGGAAGTGGAGCAGAGACGTCTGGACCTTGTGACTCACGCAGGGGAACAGCCCTCTGTATTTAAAAAAAAAAAAAAAAAAACTACTTGAGATTACAGTCAGCAGAATGTTCTTATCAAGTAACATTTTAATGTTGTAGCTGGTTGAGAAACACTGTTGGGTAGTATAATCGATGAAAAGAAAGTAAGTAAAAGAAAATAAGAAATTAAAATGAAGTGTTAAATGGAAGTACTCATGCAACAAGTGGACTACCTCATAACTTAATTACAGAGCTTGAGTACATGTACTTACCTTTTTCCACTGTTAGTCAGAGCCTCAGTTCATTACATTTCATTAATTAAATATGGAAATTGAATTATAGAATTTGCCCAAATAAATAAAAAGTTAGCTGGTAGATTTTACTATTTTTTCTGGTCACGAGTCATTCATCATTTTATCCTCTCATGGTGCATTTTGTTTGCGTGTATATTTGCTGATTGCCCAAAGATACAAGAAGACACAAAATCTAACATCCAAGAATGTAACTGTGGTCTTGAAAAACAAACAAACATGCAAACAAACCCCAATGATCTTGAAATGCTTTTATTCCATCAGATTTAAAAAACAAAAAAAACAAAAAAAACAAAAAAAAAAAAACATCTCACAATATAATGTAGAACAAATGCTTACATAAAAACATAGGGGTAAATGGGAGGCAGAATAAAGGCACTACAGTCATCCCTTACATCCATTAAATAATCCCTATTAAATGCTCAATTGGGAAACAAATTTACCCCACAGAGGAACATGGCAGTCACGGTTTCAATTTTGATGCAAGGACAGAAGATACTTCAATTCTCCAAAGTGCTTCCCTGAGACAAAGAATCAAGGTCCTGCATTTGACAGACAAACACAAATGCTGACTCCTCAGTTGCAAATTCCCTTCAAAAAATGCTACAGCTACAATTTACAACCCATCGTGATTTGTCAAAGTATGTACCAATCCATTTTGATTCCAAGTCAGTGTCGGCAGTTACAGCTTGAATTAAATCATCCACAGGCAGCTAATCAGTGACTGCTAAAAAAAAATAAAAAATAAAGGCAGCAAGGTGTTCAGGATGTGTCAGTACTTTTAGAAACTGAACAGTGTGTCCCTATTTATCTTTTTAACTAAAGTGGAATCCAATTTCCATACTAGTAATTGGATGTTGTCTTGTCTCTCATTACATGTTACATTGGTTGGATCCACTACAGTAAACATTTCGGCATTTGACGATCAGAATTAAATGTCTTGTTTTTGGTCCAATTTTTGAGTGACAAAACTTGCTACTTTGGTTTTGGGTGGATTTCACTTTAGTATATTTCGTAGTCATATGGAATATTGAAATCAACAGCCGTTCCAGCCGTTTTAGCTTAAATTTTCAACCGCGCAAGTGCACACTGAAAACACCTAAGCTACACAGAAGGAAAAAAAACTAAGTTGCACTATTGAGACTCATCAGGACACTCCATTCCTCCCATCCTGAGTTTACAGTTTGGGGATAGGTTTGGCTGCGACTGCGATGCTCTCAATAGCACACTCATCACTTCCCCGGCGGATTCTGAAGTAGCCGCCCTCGCCCCAGCTGGTGCCCCAGCTGTTCTTAACAATCCAGTACTTCTGTCCGGTCTTGTGGCAGCGGCCGTACCCCACCAGCAGCACAGCATGGTTGGTCAGCTCGAAGGGATTGAAGGGGTCTGCCAGGCCTGTGTGGTGGTAGATGCCCTCCTTATAGTGCATGAAGTCAGGGTAGACCTGTGAAAGGAACGGGTCAATTTACTTTTCTTTTTGTGTTAAATTAAAGATATAGCTTTGAAGCACAAAGGTCTCCCAAGTTCTCAACAATAAAGTACAGAAAAAGTTTCATCAAGACAAATAAGGTTCAGTTTTCTAAATAATGGTTCAAAATATTTAATGAGGAATACTTGTACCAGTTGGTGTTCTGTTAGCATTTTTGCCATCTTAACAGGTTAAGTTAAACCTGAAATTCCAATGAATTAATAACTTACATCAAGAGTGGTTAACATAATTCTATACATGAAATTAGATGGACTAAGAAAGTAATCTAAAAAAAAAAAAATAAATAAAAATGGGAAGACAGCAATTTCTGACAATGCAGGCCAAACTCAACTTAAACTCTAGGCTCCATTGACAGAGCAAAAGTAAACAAAGTGCATGTATAGGAATAGCAGTTAGGAAACAGTGAACAGCTATATCAAGCAGTACCTCAAAGGCCACTGCCATGGGCCCACTCTTGACCAGTTCCAACATCATGGTCGTCTCACTGCAGCCGCCATAAAACCCACCGACGTAGTTGTATTCCGCTGCGTACATGCGGCCGCAATTTTGAGGGACGCCACACGGAGTGTTCTTTGCAACATATGGAAAGCATGACTCATCCACAACGCCGAAATCCTGGACATATTTCCCAATCAGGTATGGGAAGCCACCATCACAACCTTAAAGAGAAGAGATGGATGTTAGACGTGGTTTGTAATGTTTCTGGAGGTTGTTGCGACGTTCTTACAAGTTGAAATCTCTTATGTGGTCCAAGATGGTAAAAAATAATGAGGCTTTTATCAGAACTCTTCAGAATTGGGGAAAAAAAAAAAAAGTTATGAAACTTCTTGACAGTTAAGATTCACTTTCTTAAAAAAAAAAAAAAAAAACACTTGAACACTACTTGTTCTGATTAGGAAACAAGGAAGCCCAGAGTCTTCTACATTGAGCAGTACATCATATAATTTTTTAAAGTTTACCTTGAGAATATTCAGAGCAGGAGACCACTTGTTGAGGGCTGAGGATGGGAGTCTCACTGTTGTTGGTGACGATTCGAATGCGAGATTCCAGCATTCCCATGGAGGCAAAGGAGTAGCAGCTACCACATGATGCTGAGACACAGATTTACACTAGAGTTATCACAGTGCTGTGCAACACAAAAGTACTGGAATAAATCTGAACTTTGTGACGATTTTAATGTTTGTTTGTTTTGTTTTTTTTTGTTTGTTTGTTTGTTTTAATAAATTGTCTAACTCTCATCATTTCTGAGGCTATAAAAAGTGGTGGTGTTGTACTGGACAGCATTATATTAATGGGTGCTTCAAAAATTTTCTCCTAATGTTTTCTATACCTCTGACATCAAACAAAAACAACACACACACACACACTATATTTAGACAAGTTCAACACCCCTACAATTAAACCCTTATACACTGGTAACTCTGCATTTTAATAGTACACAGGTACCATTATTGTAATGTATTCTAATGACTGAAGTTCCTGTAATGCTCATGCCTGAGTACACTTATCTGCATTAGTTGTAATGCATAATAATGGAGCAAAGCACAGAGACAGATACACTGATTAAAGACACTGGTTACCATCCATAGTGAGACACCAGGTTCTTAATAAACAGCTCTGCAGAAACAAATTGGGTCAGAGAACAGAGGCTGCAGGGCCCTGCAGGGTGGTTTAATAGTAATAATCACTCAAGTGAGGTTGACACCAAGAACGGTTTTATTTGGATCACAGACCATAGGTCTCAAGACAAATAAGGTGTAAGAACCAGTCGTTTAAATTAGAGGTGTATGTTAGTGAAATGAAATGATTTCACTGCCCTAATATTTAATAATATAAAAGATTTAATCAGTGCCTGAGATGATTCTGGAGAAAATGTGACAAGAGTTAAGAGCTTTCTCATACAAAACAATGTCACAAGAGTTAAGAGCTTTCTCATAGGATTTATGATGAAGCTTTCATTTGCTCCAATGCCAGCTACACCTGCACCTTGCCTTTAGTCAGCGCTGAAACGATCAATTTGTCCTCAAGCCTACCAATTTTTGTGAACTGAAATGGAACCTACAAAATCCACCTGGCTCGTAACAGAGCAAAATAAGCTCCACAGCACTGTACAGGGGCTTAGAGGTCTTCTATTGAAACACTTCAGTCCTCTCCAGATGCTTAAACCCAGCCCTACAGAGGCCCTCTCTCAGACACTCGGCACACATAATCTCTCCACTCACACACTAGGCTGTGCAGAAACACAGGAGGAGAGCAGAAAGCAGACCCAGACCTGCCAACAGGGAAGCAAAGTAGCTGGCAGGCTGCTGTTCAGTCTCTGCCCTTACTGACAGCTGCTCCAGTGTAAAGGTATGGCTCTGATCCTGCAAGTCTTTTGATTTATGTTTGCGTTCACATTTGTAATATCATGTGTGCACAGGTAACATACAGCAATTCCTGTCCCCTTCAAATTGGTTTTTGGGATGTTCTGAATTAACCAACTCAGCAGTAAAACAAAAAAACAAAAAAATTATTTATATTTATATATATATATATATATATATATGAGTAAGGTTCAAGATATATATATGAGTAAGTTTCAAGATTTCTGCAGGACAACAAATTAATGTCACCTTGGTTTCGCACAGGGCTGACAAAGTCAACGCCGTCAACATTTCTCCAATCCCAGTACTCAGGTAGAGCTGCCGCCATCTTGGCAACTTCAGCTCTTACAGCCATAGGGCGAACACGCCTAAAGTAAAAAAAAAAAAAAACAAAAAAAAAAAAAAACACATTTGATCACAACGGTATTTTTCATTGCAAAATAATGAGAAATTCTAATAGGGAAGAGAAGTGCACTAGTTAATTCTTTTAGAAGCACAAATTAGTAGTTTATGTACAATTATATGTTTTCCTCTCCATGACACCTGAGGGGCTGTGTTGAAGAATGGGAAAGTCAAGTAAATGCTCACATAGGGATACGGGAAGCAGGCCCTCCTGCTCTGTAGTGCAGCTCCTGTAGAGTGTACTGTTCATGCTCTGGGTAGGGAGCAGCCTTCCAGGAACTCTGAACCGAGTTGATAGAATCAATGAAATCCAGGTTGTGTTTGTACGGTTTCTGCAGCAGCCTGCAGGGTGAATAATGTCACACAAGGTTATTTGTAAAAAAGGAAATGCCACACAAAGAGAGAGAAAAAAAAAACAAAAAAAAAAACACATTGAACGCAATTGCTGAGATGAATCAGTGTTTTGTAAATGTTAGTTGGTTAACATATACAGCTTTGACAAAATACACCTGACAGTTTAATTAAATTATACAGTATAGTAGTGCTCCAATAAAAACCACCTTGTGAAGCTTGTACTGTTTTTATTGATGGGACTTGGTTACATTTTGTGGCCGTGTTATACTGTGCTGCTGTTGTGTTGGACCTCATAAAAAAAGTAGAGCTCTACAATTTTATTTACCAACTCTTACAACATTACTGCCAGTACAACAACCGATATTCATTGCAATAGTACTGTATGGGGCAGCGCGACATGCGAGTGTTACATGTTCTTATTAGTTAGCCCACCTCCTGTATTCAACTGCATGGGTTTTCCTTATTGTTGCTCACCACCATGTCATTCAAATATTAATATGCATCCTTATTAATGTCCATGCCACTAATACATAGTGTGACATTTTTTGGTTTTTAATAATTAAGACAGCCACTCAGTGTGGTCCTCTATGCATTACATCTTCTGAGTGCAAGTCTAACTTGGATAATAAAGCCTTGCACAGATATTTTCCAGTTATTCACACTGATGTCAGGAACAAGAACAGCTTTGTAAAACAGTTTCAGGCTAAATTGTTCCCTTGAGTGCTGAAGATTATTCCAATAAGAGCCTGCACCTAGGTTCCTAGGGAGGGTAGTGGAGTACACTCCCAACACAATACAAGTCATTTTCATCCAGACTAAGATAAGGCAGACCTACAATGATCACACCATCAGCTACAGAATTGTGCAGGAAAGATCCTACTCCTTTTAGTAGGAGGGTGCAGCCTTTGACGGTAGTGTTGCCATTTAAAATCCACTTATTTTAACACAAGTGTAAATCATTACCATGGTTGCAAAGTTTCACATTTCATACTGGAAGGAGGTGTTACCTACAGATTAATACAACCAAGTATAAACTTTTCAGTAGCAATTGTGAGTTTCCTCTGTGTGAAGAAAACAGCATGATACAGTTTGAAGTGTGAAGGTGTGGAGACGTTTTGCCTCTTTCCGAGTTAGTGACTAAAAGTTTTAATGACACACTCATTAGTTTGTCTTTATTAGTTATGTACCAAGCTATCATAATTGACATACCTGCTGCTGAAAAGTGGTTTGTAATCTGTACGGGGTGGTACTGCTTTCACTCTCTTCCCTACAAAACAGGCCCAGTTGTTTCCCAGGACATCATGGACCCACCCTGGCAGGGTCTGGTCACAGTAGCTGGTCACCTTGAAGCCCTCCTGAGTATACTGAAAGTGTAGGGAGACAAATAGATTAGGGCTTGTTATCTAATATATAACTAAATCGTATCATTTTATGCAAATACACAGCAACTCAGATTATTCCATAAAAAAAAACAAAAAAAAAAAACATTACGAGTTATAAACTTAAGATGGAGTTACAAGATCCTGCACAAGTCTAAAGCCACAAAATCTCCCAGTTCTACTCATATTGCTCCACTAAGCTAAAACAAGTCCCAAGAATGGGGAAGTTGAACTAGACATGGACAAACCATAACACAGGTCTGCAGACAGATGGGCCATGACACTTCGTTCTACTCAGTGTCATGTGAGTGAGGAGAAGTAACACATGACTGAGAGATTAATCTTGAATATGGTGCATATTTCAGCCTGCTCCAAGTGTTACAGACGGAGTCATATCAAGTGAAGGGACAGGAAACTGAGTGATAGTGAAACTAAAGCTTAAATGTCAGGGAATGTTTAAAAATATAGCTTGGGCAATTGTTAACACACAGAACAACTTCCTTGGCATTTTTTGTCATCGCTTAGAGCGAAGAGATTACCTTTACGAACTAAACTAAATTTGAGATGAGTAGGGCTATGACTCAAGGACAATGAACAACTCATGGACATTAATAACAATGCATATTAATATTTGAATGGAATGTTGGTGAGCAACAATAAGGAAAACCCATACAGTTGAATACAGGAGGTGGGCTAACTAATAATAATAATAATAATAATAACAACAACAACAACAACAACAACAACTAACATACAATACTACCTAGATAATGATTTTAAGAAGTCTGCAGCAAGCATTTTCAGCAGACTGCTGTGAAAACTTGAGGCAATGATAGGTGTTTTTTTTTTTTTTTTTTTTTTTTTTTTTTTTTTTTTTTTTTTTTTTTTTTTTTTTTAAAAAACAGGATTACCATACTGAAATGATCACTCAAATAAATGACTTATGTCAACTCATCTTACCTTGAAGAAGGCGAACCATTTGTACCCATTAATGACCACTTCAAAGCCCTGGTTGTAGATGATGGTAAAGAAGCCGGTGTTCCCCAGCTCGTCTGTGGCTACAGACAGTTTCTCCAGTGTCACAGTCACGGAGCTGTCACCTATAGCTGGGGAGGAACACCACAACATACAAGTGTTTAACTTCAGGCAATGATTCATGTAGACATTTTACATTCTTTTACAATCAATGTTATCCCAGAGTTTAGCTTAACACACACACACACACACACACACACACACACACACACACACACACACACACACACAAAGTAACAGGTGCATGTTAGACATATTCAAAGCAAAGTTATTTTAAAATTTAAGGTTTTCATTCTAAGCAGATTACACAAAGAGATCTGTGAATCATCTGTTGCAGTTTCCGTGTTAACTGAAAACCCACAAACCACAGGACCTAACATGCCACATGATTTTCAAATTGCGAAACTGCTTCATCCTTACTGGTCAGTCCCATGGGGGGGAAAGATATTTCCTGTGGTGTCAAGGGGTGGGTGGGTGAAGGTTTAGGGTATTATTACCTTCGGTGGAGCAGTTGAGGGTCTTGTCGTGCCCTCCTTTGGACACCTGGAACACCCATGTTCCCACCAGCTCTTCATAGGTGCAGTTGGCCGGTGTGTCACCCCAGGACCCTTCAACCCAAAGCAGGAACACACACACTAGCACACCGCTCAGCCTCATTTCCACACACAGCTAGCTTACCTGCACACACACACACTCATGTACACACACTTAAAGAACTACTCAGGCAGATCCCCGTCTACCAAGAAAAGCCTACAAGTTAAACAACGCTCCTCGGTTGAACCCTGTCCTCTGCCCGCTATTTATGCAAACTGAAACTTTACCAAAGAGTCGTATGTCAAGATGAATCGTTGAAGACAAAAAGTTCAACACACATGCGCACTACTAGCTAGCAGTTTCTCCAACTAGCTAACATTTTCGGCATTTTACTTTAGATATTATTACTTATACAAGACTATTTTCACACCACCGTTTCATACATTTTTCTTTTTTAATAACATGTCTACTCGCTCGCAGCATTCGCTAATGATTTATGTCCACCGAGATAAACCGAGCGAACACGGACGCACAAGACAGTGACGCTCTTGTTTGCGACTGCTTCGCTTTTTGGTTTCGTTTACCTTGTCATATGACTGGCCAGCCGAGCATGCGCAGTAGACATAATGACTTTGAGGGGGATGCTTTGTAAAATCCGGAATCAGGTTGCTTGTGTAAACTGATTGCAGGTAATAGTCTGATAAAAAGGTGTATTGTAACACATTATAGTTACTTAACTATTTTGTTTTAATATTTTTTTTTATAGTTAGACTACTTATTAATTTATTGTTGAAACAGATATACATTCCTTAATACTAAATCTATGTTGATTGAACTGGAAACTCACCATTTATTTGAGTGTGTACATCCTTTTTGTGTAAATTTAAGCAAAAATCCATGGAATGTCCACTATTTACGGTTAACAATCCAACAATGTAGTACGTCACATTTTATAGATGCAAAAGTTACAGTTGTGTGACACTACATCTGTCAGTGATTAGCCAAAATGATGATGATTAATAAGCATCTGAAATATCAATTCACTGCTGACTATAGAGTTACTCTATAGTTATAATGGTTGTTTTCAGCTTGGTTAAAAGAAAAAGAATCTGCTAATTGCTCTGCACATAGAAAGCTGACAGATGACACAGAGGTGATCTGAGGGATCTGAGGTCCAATACATGACCTTTTCCATTAGTTTGTGTAAATACAACAATAAGGTTGTTTTTTTCCCCCCTTTGAGTCTGCTGTTAAGTTCCTGTTTGTCACATTGTAATCTTGTTGATAACGTGGTTTTCTATTAATCCCAGTGGGGGAATTTTATTTTCACTTCTCTTCTAAGGGAGTTCAGGGCCTCAACTTGCCTGTTTGAATGTGTGTGTGTGTGTTTGCGTGCGTGTGTGTGTGTGTGCAGGTGTCATTGTATCCTGATAGGTCTGTTGTTAAAGGGGTTAAAGAGCTTATTTTAGCCAGTGGGCACTTAAGAGAAGTGCTGGAGGCTTTGATCACCATAGTAACCATGACATAGACTGACTCATCTCCTTGACAGACCATAATAAGCACTCATCTGAAGAAGGGACTGAAGATGTATTAGTCATGCAGTCTCATTAGTGCCATTACACTGTGTTTGTGTGGCAGTGAGTGTATGTGTGCATTAGTGTGGGCACATGTGTATGTTATTGCGTTTATCTGAGAGTGTGCGAGTCCATGAGCGTGTGTGTGTGTGTGTATGTGCCCATGCAATGACTCAAACTGGAGGAGCAGGGAGCAGAGAGACAGAGACGGAGGGATGATGTTATGAATGTTAACAGCCTGAACCCACTGAGCTCCCTCTAAGAGTGACTCATTGAAACTAATGTTTCAATCTTGATATTGTTCTCGCTTCCACTGGCAGGAAATTAAAACTGAAGTGACTTTCAGTTCTGTTATATCGGCACCCACAGATTTGTTCCCTGCTTACTGGGTTTACTCTCTCTACGTATCACAAATTCCTCTTCTTTTGTCATGCCTTTCCTTCAGTCCTTCCAGTCTTACATTCCCTTGCTGTTGCTCTCTATATTTACAACTTGCTGTGTTGTTTAATTTCTTTTGCATGTTTCCCCAACACACATACACACAAGTTTGAAATCTGCTTCATATACACACAAACACACTTTAATCAATTTTCATTTGGGCTATAAAACGTTATATATAAAAATGTCCATCACAGTTTGTAATGTGATGTTTTTTTTAATGTTTTGTTTTGTCCAACAAAAAAATGCAAAAATATTAAATTTGCAGTGTTAAGATACAGAGAAAAGCAACAAATAGTCACAGTTTAGAAGCCAGAGCCAAATAACATTTACGTTTTCCTTGAAAAATTACTTACTCGACAACTGTGGCAATCTCGTTGGCCACCACAGATCTAATAAGTACGTATATCGTCAAGTTCATCAACACAATAAGGTAATACACCTTCCCAGTCAAAATGCTCTGGATACAGCACTGTTCGACAGGTATACAATACAGTATGTGCGTGAGCAACGCATACTTTCATCTGTGTTTTCCTTCTTTGTATTCGCTGCACAGTTCCTCACTCCCTAACACATAAAAGGAACTCCCTTCCTTGAAGCCGCAGCAGCGGTTTGCACCTGATCACCCCTGTATTTTGAAGAATTGTGATACATTTATGTAAATTTAAACTCTAGATGAATGACTGAAATTCATATAAGCGTAATAACAAAAGTTAATTTATGAATCTGTTTGCTCCAGTCCTCAGTTCAGACCGGTTGAAACATCTTCATGTTTGAAGCAGTTAAATACCTGCTGAACATCTGTGACTAAATTGCTGTTCATTTCTATATTAACACACTGTTTGAAAGCCATTAGGCTCCTCATGTTGCTCGTGTCACCTTGAAATCATTTTAGCTGTTCAAGGGCAAATATGGCTGAAATAACCAAATTAATATTAGCGTTGATTAAAATATTTATTAGCGTGTAAATCATGTTTTAGTTCCACTTGATAGAGTGATTTTAACAGTTGAGAGGGTTTACTGTTCATGTTGTGTCTAACAACATCTCTCAGCTGTACTAACGTCGCTGCCTTTCTTTGCTTTTTCTGTACTTTGTTACCAACATGGATCAGCCAGAAAAAGGATGCAAGAGCAGCATTTCATTAAGTTGGCAGTGTGGGTGGAGCCACTCCATCACAGAGTGGGGTTGGCCACTCGAGCCTTGTGGTGTTAATATTACATCCTTCACATTTAAATTAAGTTCTCTGGAATGGCTTCATGGTCAGTTACCTCAGCCATACGCATACACCTACACAAAAAAGAACAGAGCGCTGTGGAATGAAATGTTTTCACCTTACATCTACATATGCTCATGCCCACACATGCATACTATGTATATACACAGCAAATATACATGTCTATGCACATGCATGCACAGCCTGACATTGACTGTTAACCACATGCTGCCATGACACCCCTTGCCCACACAGACTTTATATATAAGGCCCATCTGACTACATTGAACCAAAGGCATGCAATTTACGTAGGAGCAAATAACTCTCAACACTGATTACAGTAAATGTATGTTGTGGGACGGTGTATGAGGATTACTTGGTGTTCCCTGGTTTTATTCATTTCTTTTTTTTATGCACGTAAAAGTAATTTCATCAGTTCAAGCACATTTATTTATTTGCAAATGTTGCAAGTCAAAAGAATGGAATCATGTTTCTGTGAAAGTGCGAGCATTGCAACACCCACAACACCCACAGGTGCAAGGAGCCTGGTTATGCCTATCAATCTAAAGGACACATTGCAAGTTCAGCATCAAATTTAATTCTTTTACTCGACAAGAATTGTTTTGCTTCTATTTCTATCACTTCTATATTTCTATTGAAGTTTGCATGCTAACCAGCTAACCCCAGCTCAGTTGGCCTGTCTCGACACTTTCCGATACCGAGTCACTGTAGCGTCCAGTCTGTCCTGAAGAAGTAGCGCTTCTCAAGAGAGCTAATTCTAACCACTTGTATTGTAAATGCAACAATGGCTGAAGACTAGTTAGTTAACAGCTGTTAACGCTAACGGTAACTATGTGGCAACAGCAAAACTTAAAAATAGCTCCTTAAACACATCAGAGATCAAACCTGTTAGCTGAAACATTTATAGATATTATTATAGTTATGGAGATTGTACGAGTTTGACAATGTTTAACATTTTGGAAAATGCACTTATTCATTTTCTTGTTCAGAGTTTGGTGAGAAGATTGATACCATTCTTAAAGCTGTTAATCTGACTCTGCCACCAGCAGCAGCCAGCATAAACACTGGAATCAAAGGGAAACACCTAACCTGGTTTTGCCTGAAGGTAACAAAATCTGCCTTCCAACACCTCTAAAGCTCAATCTTCTCATCTAATTTTTGGCAAGAAAACAGAGTTTTTTCAGGCAATGACATGAGCTACCTATGATATTCATGGTATAGTCCCACAACATTCAACCCTTAAAACTGTTTATTCAAACCTGAGATGCAGAGGTGACTGTGGTTGTCTTTGAGCATTAAATCAATCCATATTACTCAGAGACAACAACACGTGAACATCCCACAGGAGACTGCTGAAGTAGATATTGATGCAGTTGTGATACTTGTTGAATCCATCCGTGACTGATGAATGTGTTCGCCCACATATTGCATGTGCGTTTTCCTGCCCAAACTGCCTCCACTTTTATGACAAACGTATCTATTTGTATATTTTTTTCCTCCTTTTTTTGTATTACTGCTGTTTGCTTATTGCCTTTTCATCCTTTCCATTTATTTGAAAAATGAGCCAAATGCAACAATTTGGAGATTTCTGCGCTGAGAGGTGAGGAGAGAAACAATGGTGGAGCAGAGTGACAGAGGGAAATAAAAGAGGAGAATGAAAGATAGCAGGGTAATTTCATTTTCTTGACCTGTATGCCTTCAGTTAAATGAATGAAATGTTTTTAGGGGCCGATTCATCGGCTGATGTCACTCTGTCATACTGGCTGCCATGTCACTGCAACACTGAAGGAGATGGAGGGAGAAGCAAATATAACCGGAGCTGTCAAGGTGGTGTCTAGCAGCTTCCACTGACTCGGTACAACAATGTGTGCTGTAGGCAAGAGACTCACAGACTGTTGAGTTCATTTTGGGCTCTAAAACTGGGAATTTGTCCAACTACTGGATGTAATAAAACCAACCAGGCTGGAGACTCCAGACCTGAACCCTAATGAGGGTCGATGTTATTTTTCTGCAAATTATTTTCAAACTTTTGTACAATGATTGCTGATAATCACAATCATGATTTTTTAAAATATGTAAT